TGCCCGTGCCTACATACAAACCTCTTAATGTACTGATATTTTCCCTTGCTCAAATGCCACCTGCAACCTGCCTTTCATAATCTGGATGCTGAATTTTAAAAGCAAGGAGAAACTGAGACAACAGCTTGATTGGTGAAGCAGTTACTGTTCAGACACAAAGACCCGAGTAAACCGTCCTAGCATCCAGACCCAGCTGCTGCCGAGGACCATGTCTGTGTCCGTGGTCCTACCGAGCCTAGGGTCTGTGTTGAAGTCCAAAGCCGGTGTTGCCTGCAAAGGTCACTTGAAGCCCAGGTTTGGGGCCACAACCTGAAACCTTGGTGGCATCTTGGGGCCATATTGTAGCCACAGCCATCCTGATCTGAGTGGCCAGTGCTCCCACCCAGAGCCAGGATGTCATCTGGCCCAAGTTGCTGCCAAAGGTCACGTCTGGGTCCATGGTCTAGCTGCAGTTGGAGTCTATACAGATGTCTGTGGTCCGTGTCACCTCAAGGGCCCATAGGAACCATGTCTGATGAAATCAGAGGGCCATGCTGACCTGCCCCTGCCCTTCATTGGCCCTGAGAAAACTGGGCCTACCTCTTGCTGGGCAATGTAGCAAGAGAGCTGGCCCTGGCCCTGGCTCAGGAGAGATGGCCCCACCCTTTACCATGGGTGTAGGAGAACTGACTGGATGGCATGGGCATAGGGGAGCTGGCTTCAACCCCTTGTCTGAAGCAGGTGGCCCCAGTGTCCAGTACTGACAAGTTCAGCTAACATCCAAGCCCACTGCAAGGCCTTGAGTAGGCCTACCCTAAGAGCTGCCCCACTAAGACAGGATCTCCATGACTTGGGGTGGCCATGGGATATCCCAAAGAAGTTTCTGTGAGGACTCAGTGATGCTGGTGTACCAGAAACCAGAGGCCTTGAACCTGACCAGTGACTCATTGCAATGAACATTTGCTAGTAAAGCTGATTGAACAAAAGGATATACTATGTGACACACCACTCAGTGCCACCAGGACAAATGAAGAGGTCTGGGAGAAGCAGGACAGATGGAAAAGCAACAAAGTTTTTGGGGGGTTTGTTTTGTTCTTGTCTTTGTTTACTTACTTTGTTTTGTTTTTGTTTGGTTATTTTTTAATTTTCTTTTGGGGAGGTCATTGCAGGAGTGAGGGGACTGGGAGGTAAATGGAATTAGAGGTCATGATGTGAAATTCCCAAAGAGTCAAATTAAAGAAATTACGCTAAAACAGCAGCAGCAGCAGCAACAACAAACCAATCCTAGCACCAAGGTAAAAAATCTCAGATGGTGCTTGCTTGTAATTCCACTTTCAGGAGGCAGAGACAGGTGGATGGCTAGGGCTCACTGGCCAGCCAGCCAGCCTAGCTGAGTCCTAGGGAGAGACCCTGTCTATAAAAACAAGGCAGAAGTCTCCTAAGAAAGGACACTTGAGGTTGACTTATAGACACACACACACACACACACACACACACACACACACACACACACACACACACACACCTCTACCCACAGAAAAGTAAACAACGACAAAATAACTTACAGAGACCAAAGCAAGGAGGAGATAACTGTGGTCTTATTGGCCAGCCTCCCCCAGGGGATATTTGCCTCAGGTGCAAAGGACAGAAACTGGAAAATTCATGACACAAGTTATCCACTGGAAGAGAACACACAGAGGCTCATTTTTTTTTCCTTGGCAGTTCGGTTAGCACGAAGCAATTTCTAACTTTACAGACTAAACAGTTCTAATTGGGAAATGGATGGTTTGATTTGAGATGGTGGCTCGTGAGACAAACTTCCCAATTTGGTGTAATTGTTTATGAGTCATTGGCAGATTACCATTAACCAGCCTTCATTTGGTTTTTTTTTTGTGGAAAAATAAAATTGAGTGTGCATGTTTCACACTTCGTTGAAGGGAAATACTTAACGTGACAAAGAGAGGCTGTGGGGCAGAGAAAGATCCCTTCTGCTTATTTGTTTCAACCATCTAGACTCAAGGCTTTCTTTTTCTGGTGGGTGAGGGAAACGATAATCACATAGTACATGTCTTCAGCTGTTAAATGGGAACCTAGAAAAATTGCTGTGAAGATGCAGTCATTGGCATACAGGCCTCAGTGCTGTGCGTAGCCTACGGTAGCTGAGAGGAAATGGTGGGTCCCTGTCCTCCTCAGCATGAGTCATCGCCCCATTCTCCATAGAAGAGCTTCTCACATTATATGGCAGTTAGCTGCAAGGGCCACAGCTTCATAATGGGAGACAACGCACTGATTCATAAGTCATAGTTCGGCTACCTAATTAGGCTTCAAATATTGGAATTATTTAGTGACTACCCTTTAAAAAGACTTCACAGCCTCTCTTGATGACTTATACCATGTTTAATTATCCTGAAAACTCATGATGTTTTCGTTCGGCCTTAAACACTTCCCCTCGATTTCTCTCTTGTGGAGTCAGATAGAAATGGGTAACTTGTTAGAGTAGAATGTGCTTAAAGCATTTGCCTTTGTGGCCCATCTTGATCTCGAAGAATTTAATGTTTCCTCATTCTATCTGTCCTCCTGAATCTGAAAGCTCTATCCTAGCCTAACTTTTCAGGTTTTCTGCTATGTTTATTACTATTGCCATTTATTTATTTAAAGTAGTATTATCAACCGTGATGACTCAAGTCTGCAATTTGAGCTACTTGGGAGGCTAGGGCAGGAAGGTTGCAGGTTCAAAGCCTGTCTAGGCTTCAGAAGTAGGTCAAGACCAATCTAGGCACTTTATCAAGAGCCTTTCACTTTTTTTAAAAGTTAAAACATGCTGGGAGTATAGTTTAGGGGAAGAGCACTTACCTAGAATGCATGAGATGCCAGCTACAACCTCCAGAATCATTGAATAAGCTAAAGACAAGCAACAATATCATGTAATCTTTTCAAGCCACCAAGTTATTATTGAGTACATTTGGTTCCCCATATGAAAACTTTTTGCGATGTGAAAAGGTAGCATAACTTTTCAAGATGCCAACTCTCATCTAGAAAACAACTGCTCTGGCCAGGCAATCTTGCCCATTGTTGCTAGTTTTTTAAGGCAAGGCATGGCTTATTTTCCTTGTAATCTGTAACCTTTTCTATGACATGTTGATGGCATAGTGGGCCAAGGAAGCATTTTGTATTGAGTACCTGCAAGTGAAGGAGTGCATGTGACTTCCTATTGCATATCATTACAGCTCTGAAACACTCATGCCTGGGATAGTCTCTGTACAGAGTGAGAGGTTGATAAATGCTCATTGGTGGCTTTGCTTGAATACCTAATAGGAACCTCAGTTGTAAGATATCCAAGATGAACCCAGTGGTAGACTGACCAGTTCCCCAAGGAGGGCCAAATTCCAAGTCTTTCTCCTTGATTATTTCTACATACAGATTGCAAAGACATGTTGATTCCATCTGCTAAACCATTTCCACTCATGTCCCCAGTAACCAATTTTGCTTTCTAGTTCGCTGCTGGTGGTCTGTCTGCCCTCTCCTTGCCAGATGTGGATAAAGTCACTCTTTCTGCACACTTTCGTAGTGTATAAAGTGAGGACATGACCTCTCTGAGGTATGGTTGAGGAGAAGGTTTTTATTATAGATATGAGGGAGAGTACAGCCAGAGACATCTGGAAGAGTTCCGAGCAGGGAAAGAAAGCAGTAGACTAAACATGGCCAGTAGGCTGGACCACGCCATGAGAGAGGGGTGGGTCAATGAGAGAGGAAGATCAGACAGTGTGTGTGGACAAAGGAGACCAAGAGAGAGGGCCAAGAGAGAAAGTGGAAGGGAAGACCAAGAAAGCACATGGCCAAAATGACAGGGTTAAATGGGAATGGGAAACCAAGGGGAAGGAAGCCAATGAGCTGGAGAAGTCTAGGCAGGGGTGGGTTGAGAAGAGCTAGGATGCCAGCATGGACTCTGTAATAGGTATTTGTGATGCTGAGAAAGCCTGGGGGTCAGCTTGCATCTTGGTATGCTAATAGGTATTACAGTTAGTCATTTGTTCAGACTTTCTTTTGGCCATGGCAGGTAGCTCCATGTGCTCTCAAACAAAGCCTCATACTTTAAAATAGCTTACAAAACCACTGTGGTATGTCCACAGTCTCTCTCTCTCTCTCCAGCTGTTGTCTTTCTCCTACACAAATTTACTGAGCTCCCTAAATGCACCCAGCAACCCCCCCCCATTTCTTCACCCCTTGCCTGCCTCCTGCCTGTGTTTCTGCTTTCCAGACTTCCAGATGTGTTGTTATCATAGACCCAAGCTTCATTTCTTCAACACCCTGTCTAAACAGGTCTAGCCTTTCCCCAGGTATCTGGAGTTTTAGAAACTGCTATAAGATACTTGATATGGTTTTTATTCAAAAGGTGGAAAAACCAAAAACCTATCTGAAAAAAAAAAAAAGACCCAAAACTTGTGCCATGTCACCAAGAGTCTCAATGGGTTGGGAAGGGTACTAGCTGTGCAATTTTGGATATCCACACTTTTGTTGTGCCTAGGGTTGAGTGACACTCCTTGCACATGGAATGAATTTCTTTATGAATCTCAGCCTCAGGCTGAGATGCCTTTTACTAGATTCAAACCTTTCTCAATACTCAAAGGAGTCTCTGTTTCATCATGCATTCTTGGGACAGACGAGGCCGGATCCCTCTGGAGGCACTCTTCTTCCAGAAGGAAATAAACCTCGCAAGAGAAGCTGTGTTGCTCTGATGGGTCTCTGTAACGTCAGCTGGCATGGATCAGAAGAGCTTTTGTCATGGTGGCCGTTAATGATGATTTACACATTTTAGTCACTTGCAAAATGACTGGCACCCTGCACAACAAGAGAAACGCCTCTCTCTTCTGGCATGAGAAATCTGGTGACCCAGCTGTTTCAATAGATGGCTTCTACGTGCTTCAGCCCTAGTGGCAACTGGTGCCTAGTGCCCTGCTCTACTGGAATCAATTTTGTTTGGTGATTTTAATGAAGCAACTTCATTGTTTTTCTTCCTGCAGATTGCTCTTAAAAGAAAATGGCCATTTCTTTAAACTCATGCCTGGGCCTCATCTGCTCCTTGTTGTGTTTTTGGATGAGGACAGCATCCCCTCTGAATCTGGAAGACCCCAATGTGTGCAGCCACTGGGAAAGGTAACTGTTTTGAAAGCAGCCAAAGCCTTCTGTTCCCTTATCACCACTGGCCCGATGTATAGAATGGAAATTTGAGAAGCCATTTTGAAATCACTTTCCTGTATAAAATAAATTTAATACATTGAGTCATGTTACTGCCCTTGGAATGCATATATCGTGTGTGTGTGTGTGTGTGTGTGTGTGTGTGTGTCGGAAACATCTGGTTCTAACACCAGTACAGTTGTAAGATGGAGGGAAACACTAGGAACTCAACTAGAGTTTTAAGCACTTATCCAAATGTGGTGATTGGAGGAGCTGGACCCATGCTTAAGAATGTTGAATCAACAGTGGGGAGCAGCATGGGGTAACACACTACACTAACACATTGAATTATACAGGATGAAAATGGTTGTGCCATGGGCAGCCTGGTGGCCTGAGCCTGGCCTGGCCCAGGACTGGTGTGACACAGTACTGCAACCCCAGGTCTTCAGGAGGCTGAGAAAGCATGATCACAAGCTCAAGCAAGATCTGTCACCACTGCAGTCACAGTGTGCAATAAATATTTACTAAAATAGTAGGAAAGGGTCTGAAGTGCAGGAACGTGTGTGAGTGTGTGTGTGTGTGTGTGTGTGTGTGTGTGTGTGAATGTGCATTGCATCAAACTTAGAACAAGGAAGGGACCAACAGGCAGTTAAGCAGCCTAGTGGTTGGTAGCTTTAGGCATGAGGAACAGTTAACTTGTGAGATGCTGAGAGGTACAAATCAATGGATCTTGAAAATGTCTTTACTGTGATGTGAAGCTGGTCCACCAGAACTTAGAGCCCGCAATGCCCATGTGGGGGAAAAAAAAAAAAAACAGCAGAAGGGAGTTCAGTGATGAGTGCATGAATTCATGTGGTTTGACAGCATGGACTTAGGAATCAGGCAGAAACACATGCCTGGGAATGGCTGGAAATTTAGCATTGGGATGGTTAACACGATGAGATATGAAGTTGCTGATGGGATGACCAAAGGGAATGTGGGATCTTCCAGCCAGAACCTTTTGGAAGACCAGATTTGACTTGATTCCTTACCCACATTGAAGTAAGGCTGTCAACATGCCATTGTCTTGTCTTGTTGACCTGATGGGGGGGGGAGGAGGAGCAGGGGGGGCAATTACCACTGTCTGGGACCTTGCATGTGACATCTACTCAGTCAATTATTGGAAAGTAGACCCCCTTTCTGGTAGTGATTGAAATGGCCAAATACGAGAGATACAGGCCACTATAATCTCTACACCTAGTAGAATCTGGAGTCAATCTTGGAATAATCACCAAGATGGAAGGAGACATTGGGAGCACCTGGGGACGTGGGTTTTCTATGCGTTACTAAAAAGAAGGGCAATAGCCACAACCTCCTTGTTGATAAAGGTTTTCTTTTAAGATGATGATTCCTAGAAAATGTATTTTTAAAAGTGCATTGATGAAAATAAAAAAAAGGTTAGGTCAATTAAAATGACCAAATAAAGGGCTCTTGGGATGGCTTAGTGGCTGAAGGCACTTGTGCCAAGCTTGAAGACCCGGGGTCAATCCCCAGAAACCAAATGGTGAAAGGAGAAAACCAATCCCTACAGTCTGTCCCCAGAACTCCATATTAACACACACACACACACACACACACACAGACTCTCATACATGTACACACATACTCACACAGTGCACACATACATGTATACACACACATACACTCACACATACATACATTCTGCATATAGACATACTTGTAAAAAAATTGTGATGGCACAGGTAGTACTATATTTTCAAAAAAAAAAAAAAATGAAATGAGAAGACTAGTTCCAAGGACATGTTCTTGAGAACAGGGCTTTCGTGGGGCTCATGGTAGACTGTTTTGTAGTGAAAACCACTTGTACTCTGAGGTTTCGAGCCAGGAACTGGAGCCTGCTTCCTCAGTGTGTCCTTGTGGAAGATGCACTCTCAGCCTCCACCAGCCCTACAGGGTCAACATCTGTTTCTTAACAAGATCCCCTGGTGTGTGTGCAGACCTTCACCCTGGAGAAGCACAAACACAAGCCCTCTGTCAGGCCCTGCTGGCTGTGTCTCCATTGATCTCTGAATGTTTACTTTCAGACAGTGCCATGCCCTTTTTTACTGCAGCAACTGTGGTTTTAGGGCGTTGCCTGTAAAGCAAAGGAGAGAAAAATTAAATCCTGAAAAACGTGAGTGAAGGAATCCTGCACAGCATCCGTTGGAAAGCGGGTGACTCTGAAGCCTTGGTCCCCCTCCCACGCCTGTGCTTCAGTCCCAGCCTTTCCGTCCAGATTCTTATCAAGATGGCATGAAGGAGGAGCAATGGCCCCTTTCCCAAAGTCCCAATCAGTAACCCAGAAGTGGTAGTAATTGAATCAGCAGTCCTGAAGTGAGCTGAGAGAAGAAATGAGGATTATTACCATATCTGATTAAAGTAACAAGATAATTCAGGCAGATAAAATGTAATTAACCACTTTGGAATGTGCCCAAGTGATGATGGCGTGCCCCCTCCTGTTCCGTGACCTTAAATTAATTCCTGCCTGGGTTTCTCCCTTGTGATGCCTAATAGGTTAAAATCATGATGATATGTTTCTGTGTGTTTGCGGAGGTTAAACAAACAAGTCACAGAAAGCAGAGGGCTGCAATTCCTAAAGCAGAGGGGCTTCTGCCCACCACTTGGATTTGAAGCCTGGAGTGTTCTGGGGTGGCATCTGAGAAGGGACAATGTGAGAAGGTCAGGGTTTGTCAAGGCTTGATGTCAGTTGTTAGGGATGACTTATATTGGGAGCTCCTGTTTCCTGTGATGGGAAGTAGTCTAGATGGGCATGTTCTGGACAATGCCGACTCAGCCTTCCTTACCTTGCAGGCCTTTTCAGAGCAGTTCCTGGTTAGTGTGGTGCCTGGCCTGCTAGCAGAGGAGATAGCATGACATTGACCAAGGCACAGTGATGAGGGCGGTGTTGGGAGAGGTGGGCCATTTTGCAGACATTCTCCTTCTTGAGGTCAACAAAAGCTTCCAGCCAGTGTGCCCATTGAGAAGTAGCAGCCTAATTGTCCAATGACAGATACTAAGAGAGTGAGATGTAGTCACTGACAAGACTATTTGTGAACATGGGAAAAGCTTACAACGTGATCTCAGGCTTTAAATATGTATGCATGGTGTGACTATAATGTGAGAAAATCCAAAACCTTCAAATTACCCCCCAAAGACCACAAAGGATAGCAATATGGTGTCCATAGACACACGGTTGTTACAGAATTCTCTCCTTCTCATTCTAAAAGTTTGTTTTCCCAGTTTCATAGTGTGCTCTAGAATTTCTTTAAAACTGGAAGACAAAGGGATAGAGAGAGAGTCCAGTCAGCTTGCTGCGCATGCCTGAGTTAGACCTGAGTCCATCCCAGCACCTGTGTGAAAAGCACAGCAGAGTGGGCATAGTGGGCATACTTGTGTCCACACAAAACACAGCTTTCACCTCAGATGAAATAAAAGTTTATTTTGGACCCAGAACTGAGTGATCATGGCCCAGGAACACACATCAGGTTCCCACATTTCATTGTTCCAAGGTGGAAGCAGTTTCATCAAGTTTTTTTTATTGCAACAGAACAAAGTAAACCATAAATCATACATTGGTAGAAATATCAGAGAAGCAGGTTATGACCAGGTGAAGGAATCTTAACTACATGTGTCAGATGTTATAGAAAACATTCTTAGCTCTTCCACAGAGAGAAAGTAGGATTTTGTTACATTACTTAATCTCAACAGTTTTTTTTTTTTTTTTTAAATCAGGATCTTAGGTCTGACAGAGGTGGGCAATGAATGGCTTTTTAAGGGGCTAGTGGTAGTCCAAGAGAAATTGTATTTAGGTTCTGCAACTGCAGCCTTACAGCCTTACAGTCAGCAAGGTTTTAACCAGCTGATCAGTCCATTTAGACAGCTTCCTTCTGGGAAGGCGTGTTCACAATTGTAAGCCCAGCACTGGGGAGGTAGAGACAGGAGGATCCCTGGGCTCACTGGCTAGCCAGCCCAGCCTATTTAGGGATCCCTAAGCCAATGAGAGACCCTTTCTTAAGAGACAAGGTAGATGGATCTTGAGAAGCAAGCCCTTACATTAACCCCTGATTCTACACACACCTGCACACACGTGCACTGGAACACAAACTCACACTTGCACAAATGATCGATCACCATTGCTCTTCAGTGTGTACAAAATTGAATTTCACAGAATGTCCTTTGCAATTGTCTGGGAACCTTGTGTTATGTCTAACTCCTTAAGACAAATTTAGTTCAATAACATCAGTATTGTAGAGCCTGCTAGAGCAAGGATTTGCTACTTTTTATTTTTTTTTCTCTGTTCCAAAGCACATATGGAAAGTGGTTGATTTTCCTTGTAGCTGAAGCAGATCTGTAGCTATGGCATAGGTCTGTCCCCAGAGGGATGGGGCAAAGTCACAATAACATGGAGTCAAGATTCAGTTATTTCTAAGTAACTTGCTAGGAAGCAGACAGCCTGGCAAGGAACTCAGCATTTGCACCCGTGTGGGCCTCAAGATGCTGCTGGGGGCTGAAGAAAATACTAGGAGCTCAGCGTGAAATGTCATTTTGAGAGCATTGATATTTTAGCAGAGGTCTCTCGCTTTGCACAAAATGAATCACCTTATGCTAACAACAGGGGCTTGTTTGCACCCAAGCCTGTGCCTTTGGGAAGTAACAGGGCCTCTCTGATGGTGCAGAAAAGAAATGGTCACCTACATATATGTTAGAGATTCTGAGAAGTCATCACCATGTCAGCTCCAATTATCTGTTTAAAATGTGGTAATTGAGGCCCAGGGCATTTGCTTTGCTTTCTCAGATTACAACCCTGCTTTTTTCTAACTCAGTGATCTTCTCAGAGGGCCTGCAGTTTCTGCCTAATGTTTCTTGAGGATCCTTGAATATCCCTAAATACTACATTTCAGTATGCCAAAACATTATAATTACCCCATGTTATCTCCCATTGATATATCTCCCATTGACATGCAGGTGTAAAACCATCACCAAGACCAGTTTCAGATTTACTGTTTGTGAGGTGGTCATTCTGCAGCCTTCCCAACCAGCTCTCTTTTGTCTACATTGAATTCATGTTAGAACTTCAAGTGAGAAGTTAGAACCTCTTCCTCTTGTCCATTCTCATATTGATAATTCTTGTCAATGAATTATTGATTACCCTGTATGTAAGTCAGTGATGCTGCCCCATTTTGTTTTTGTTTAGATTTTAATGGAGGTTTAAAGCAAATGGAGCAACCCTTCTGAAAAAGAAAATTCTCCTGCTTTTCTTGTAGGCAGACATTATTCTCTGGGGCATGCAAAAAGTTTAAAAACAAAAACAAGTATAGAACCGAGTGTCCAGTGTTCTTTATATTCTTTCCCAGACCACAAGTTTCTAATCTCCCAAGAAGCCATTAGTGGAGTGTAAAGGGGAACAGAGCATTTAGAAGGTAGCAAGCTGCTGGCATGACTGTCTCAGGCTGATTATCGCTGCTTATTTATATATTTAGAACTGAATGTAAAGGACTCATGGTAGCCTTCATTTCTGTGTCCTCTACAGCCTTCTGCTGCCTGGGAAGCTAGGCCAGCATATGAAAGGCAAGTGCCCCAATTGTCCTGATTTTTTTCAAAATAATCAGTGAAATGGGGTTGGTTCTGAATACCGGGATTGTATCTCTGCTTATTAACCTTGTTGTTTGTCTGCTGACTTACGGTGAGCACTTTTTATGAAAGGTCTCTGTTGTGCATGGATCCTGGGATGGGAGCGGTGAATTAAGTACAGAAACACACAAGGATATGTTTTGAAGTTTGGGAACATTATCGTAATGTGGACAGGAAAAGGATTTCCATTGCAATGTTTAATGTGGATGGACACTTGCCTTTTTCTTTATTGCTAATATTTGTCTTTGGGTTGTATTGGTTCAATCAAAAACCTCTATAAACACAATATTCTGTTAAAAGCCAGTAAGAGCTGGCCAAGCAAGTTCAAGGCATGAATTCAGTCTTTAGCACTGAAAAAGGAAGAATCTGTGTGGGGTTATAAGCGATGATAGTTTAGCCTCTTTTTTGTTTGTTTTGCTTCGGTTTTGGCTTTTTTAAAATGCGGGGATCATATCACTAATGTAAAAGTAGAGGAATACTAATTCCTGTTTTATTTTTTCCTTTTCTTTTCAGCTACTCAGTGACCATACAGGAGTCATACCCACATCCCTTCGATCAGATTTACTACACGAGTTGTACTGACATCCTGAACTGGTTTAAATGCACACGGCACAGGTAACAGAAGCTTGGATTTGTGTATGAGCCTGACTGTGTGGGAATGGAATCTGATGCAATCAGAGATACCACTTACTTGAGAAAGTGTGTCCATGCATCCAGAGAACAGTTGTTGAGGGCTTTGATTCCAAGCCCAGGGGACAGTGAAAGGCTGATATAGTCCATGACTTTTGTGAACTTACAGTCTAACTGTAGGTGATACATCTACCGTCTTTCCTGTGATTAGAAAAAACGCATCCAGCTCCTGTATAGAGGATGACAGTGGACGACACTCTCTTTTTTTCTCATTTTATTTATATTTTGAGAATTTTATATAGCATTTTTATCATATTTTTCCATCCCCCGTTTCCCTTCAAATCTCACCTTCCAACTTCATGTTACTTCTCTCTCTTAAAACAAATAAACAAAACAAACAAACAAACAAAAAACAGACGGAAGAAAAAGAGATCCACTAAGAAAACATGGAGTCCCATGGCCATGCAGAAGACCTCACGGGCTCAAGCCAGATGAATTCCCAGTAAAGGGGAGGGAATGGCCACAACATCTCACCCCAAACAAGCTGTTTGCAAATAGCTGCTGAGAGAGGGGAAATCAGTTGTCTTAAATGCCTTGACACCAGGTGTGTCAACTCTGCTCCAGGACAGGCCAATGCTCTGGAGAAGTTTGCCAGCACAAATTGGAGACATTTTTCTCTTAGCCATCACCAGATACCAAGAAATGCATGCTTCAGTGTCTGTTTCTAGTTGGATATTTAACTCAGTTTATGTTGAAATTTAATCTTTAAATAAGATAGGCTATCTGCAATCCATGAGAACACAGAGCCCAAGGCATTAGTACTTGTAATAAAGGGGACTCTGATACTTTAATTCTTTTAGTTAAGTATTTATAGTGTCATAAATTATGGATTGAGTATGGTACGTGTCATTTTATAATTTAGTTGTTTAATATGTTTCTTTAATAAACACATTTTATCAGCTCCAATTCTACAAGAAATGTAAGTTCTAGTAAGAGAAATATAAAGTCTTTACACTATTTTACTTGCTGCAATTCATTCCTTGGCTCCTAAAATAGTGCCTGCAATATGCTAAATGATTATGAAACGCGTGTACTTTTTGAATCCATGAATGAATGGTTCTTCAGTTCAATCAGATGGTAAAATTAGTCTTCTCTTTCATAGTAGCATGACACTATATTGAATTTTAAAAGAAAGTCTGTGAATTCTTCCTTTGAAATATAAGTGAACTAGATATCTATCATATATTAAATTAATTGATACTTTGCACATTATTTCCAGGTAGTTAAAGTAGGAAAATCACAACATTTCTGATGCTTTGAAATAAAGTTCAGGTTGGCTGGAGTGGAGAATCCTACTTAGCACTGTAATAATTTGATCAAACCTACATTTTGTGTTCTTTCTTGTTTTGACACACTGATTTTTGTACCTTTATTATGGCTGGTAGCTATTTTTATTAAAGTAGAAGTAATTCCTCGTTAGCTTGTCACCCAGAGCTAACGGCACAATCTTTTTCCTTCATATAGAATCAGTTACCGGACAGCCTACCGCCACGGGGAGAAAACCATGTATAGACGCAAATCGCAGTGTTGCCCTGGATTTTATGAAAGCCGGGACATGTGTGTCCGTAAGTAAGGTGTCCATCCTTTGTGCTGTTCTTACATGTCCAGGGCTGCCCCTGGGAGTGACCGCTGAGCTGGGAACCTTGGAAACGGGGTGGGTGGAATGTTCCTCTTTGCTCCTGGCTGTTGGGCTTTTGGCATATGTCCTGCAGAAAGCATTAATTTTGTCCCCAGGTCCTATCAAAATTCTCCAGATGAGTATTGCTTGAGGAGAAAACAGCTGTACAGAAGATGATGCAAGGCCGGATGTGGCCTTGTCAAACTGTCATTTCAGCTGGAAATTGGTTAGGAGTTACTGGGCTGAGGTCACAGAAGAGGGCAGGAACATGGCTTTCCTGCTGTGGCTAGCTTCTGAAGGGCTGGTGTGATTTTTTTCTTTTCCTTTCTTTCTTTCTTCCTTCCTTCCTTTCTTTCTTCCTTCCTTCCTTCCTTCCTTCCTTCCTTCCTTCCTTCCTTCCTTTCTTTCTTTCTTTCTTTCTTTCTTTTTATGGTCACAGAAAGATGAATGGATGGGTCCAGGACACAAAGCACAAGTGCATTTTCACTGGCATCTTCCTTAGCTAGCAAAATAGGGATGGGTCCTTAGTTCAAGTCCATCATTGAGTGCCAGCTTTCCTGGAAGTCAGAAAAGGATGTTTTCTTCTGCATTTGCAGATTTCTTTCAGGTAGCTGAAAAATCTACTGATCCTAGGATGACCTTGAACTTCTGATCCTCCTGATGCTGGGGTTACAGGCCTTGTGCTACCAGTTTATGTGGTTTATAAAGTGTTAGATATCAAAACCAGGGCTTCTACGGCCAGGCATTGGTGGCACACGCCTTTAATCCAGCACTCGGGAGGCAGAGGCAGGTGAATCTCAAGGCCAGCCTAGTCTACAGAGCGAGAGTTTCAGGACAGGCTCCAAAACAATACCGAGAAACCCTGTCAAAACAAAAGCAAAAACAAAACACAAAACAACAAAACCAAGGCTTCATGGTTCGTAAATCATCACTCTGTTAAGTGAGCTACATCCGCAGTCCTTAAAGGACATTTTGTATTCTACTTTTTCATGTAAAGAAATTCATTGTTTCTTGTTTGTTTTTCCTCTAATGATTTCTTCTTCATAGGAAAAAAAACCAGGTTCAGTAGAGGGGGCTCATTACAATAAAAGTTAACATACACTGATTGTTTGTCTGTAGTATAGAACCTAAGGGCTGGACTCTGTGATTACATTGCTTACCCGAGAGAGCTGCGCTCCTTTCCCCTGAGGAGTTTGTCCTAAGTAGTTTTTAATGTCTTCAAAACAACAACAGATTAGTAGTTATCTTCACCAAGTGTTTATTCAATGCCAGGCACATACATCATCACACAAATTCACCCCAAACTCATGGTGAGGCAGATATGATCACGTGCATTTTGTAGATGAGGAAACTGATCAGGTGGTGGTGGGTGGTAAGGGATGATGCTGCATATATTTTGAATGTGGAATGAGATACTTCATCCAAGCAGAAGAAAGTGGCAGAACAGCTGATGGATGGAGGACAGTCACCCAAGAGTGGCTCAGCACATTGTGATTATACAGCCTTGGAGATAGCAAAGGAGCTGATGGGGCCGTTTTGCTTTTGAAAACAAAGTCTCTGCATTCAATTCACAAATTCGATTCTGTTTTTATGCTCATCTCTTTTTAAGGTGACTAAAATGGGCAAACATTTTCTCTTTTGAACTTAGCCTTTGAAAAGGTTTCTGAAAACAAAGAACTCCTATAGATATTGTTTAGACAGATAGCAAATGTGCCAATCTGTCTGCATGAGCTGGGTGGATACAGAGGTGAGGTGTGCCCAGGGGTGGGGAGGTGCTGGACTTTTCAGCTAGTGAGGGAGCCTTGGCTGCTGCTCCTTCTGTTTAATACTTTGGGGGTTCTGAGGATAAGAACAGAGTTCAGAAAGACCCAGAAACTATTAAATTTCATACTCAAAGCAGGGGAGGTCTGGAGCTCAGGCTTTGTGGAGATTCTCACCAAAGGTCCCCCAAGATGTGTTTACTGACAATGGAGGATGCAGAGAATGCTGAAGTATACTTCTTATTCTGCTCTAAGGAGGAGAGATCCTTGGGGAACAACACTGCGTTCTTCTAGTGTTTGGAGCACCATGGGGAGATAGGAATGAGGGCAGAGCCTCTGGGGAGGGGGTGAAATGCAGATCCCCAGCTCAGTGGGCTGGGCTGGGCTGGGCTGGGCTGGACACAGACCTATGCGTTTCTATTGAAGGTTCAAGGCTGTGCAGATGCTGAGGGTTCACAGAGCACACTTTGAATAGCTAGGCTTCTGCTGGGAGACTGATGAATGTTACTGGGCAGGAAGAGGGTGGGAGAGAGTAAGTAGAAGCCTTTGCTGAGAGTCTGCTTGGGAGAAAAGGAGAGATGGGAAAAAGTTTCACAAACCAAGTGTCACTAGGACATTAAGATATTTTTGACAATGAGATTGTACTCTGTTCATGAATCATGATGAGCCCTAAGTCCATTCTTGGACTGGGTTAGCCAGATCTGATATCTTTAGTTAGTTTTGATATGGAAAAATCTTCATCTTAGTGAAGAAATGCCCAGGGGATGAAAATAGGTTTTTTTTGTGTGTGTGTGTTTGCATATGTGTATAAATACATATTTTTTAAGTCATGTAATTGATCTCTTAAAAAATGCTATTGGTTAAAGTGTCAGGTTTTTGTACCAAAATATATGCTCACTCAAACATTTGCCAATATATTTTTATTAACACACACCAATATCTATGCTGGGATTACTGTTATATTCTGTGGTTCTTTCCTGTAGGTTGGTTAATAGGCTGGTTTCATGCACTGGTATTAATGATTGTGCAGACATTATAGTTATGAACCCCAAGGTTCATCCATGTTGCAGCACACATTATCTTTACTCATCATTGTTGGCTCAAGTTTTTAAACTCCAGAGAGTATGGTCCATGTTGCTACCTTGATGGAGCATGCCAAGTCCATTGTCTTCACTGTTGTCTATCTCAGACGCCTTAGAATGTTTCAAATGGTATACATCAGTTATCTCAGTTCTTCGAATTTTGTAATTCCTTCTTATGAGACAGAAATTGGTTTTTGTCTAATAACCATGATAAATGACTCAGTCATGGATTATTCTCATTTATTTTTTGTCTTCTGTGACAACACATGCCTTGTGAATGTTAAAATGATATGAGTTCCATTTTGAAAGCTCAGCTTTTGAGCTGTTCTCTTAGAGACAGAAGAAACAGCAAACCACTGTTGATGTCCTTCAGGACTTCGTCTATGGTAAAGGCAGCAGTGTGGTACAGACTGGAGAAAGGGCAGACAGACCATTAGGCCTTCTCAACTGGACCATTTCGTTTACTAGAAATAAAAGACCCAAACTATTTCACAGACAATAATTTGTTGTGTCTCTAATTTTTTCTCAAATTATTTTTGTCTTTATGAAATACTAGAGAGAAAAGAAACAGCCACTCACATGTTGCTATTTTTAGTGTAGAACACTATAGATATTTTGCCTGATCTTTTAAATCCAAAACAAATTTATAGATTTATACCATGTAAACAACCTTTCTTTGTGAATAGTTTTATTCATTTGAATTATATCATGGATATATTTCCTATAAGGAAATCAAACCTAGTAACTAATTTATATGACTAATAAGTTAATCATTTTATGTCTGGGTAATGTTATATTGATATCTACCAGTGTTAGCTGCTAAAATAAATAAGCATCATTTCATAAATCTTTCTGCAGACTTGAGTGATTCATAACACAAATTATATTGAATATAATTTCTAGGACAAAGAGCATAGAGTGTATTTTGTGTTATTATGAAATACCTCAGTCAGGCTGTTTTATAAAGAAAGAGACATAGTTAACTCAAGGTTCTGCAGGCTCAAGAGAATGACATTGTTTCTGTCTTGGTAAGTAATCTCTTGGCTGTGTTACATGATGTGAACCAGATGTCAGAGATACTGAGCATTTATAACAATTGGGAAATATATATATATACACACACGCACACACATACATATATATACGCATGCATGCACGCGTGCGTGCGCACACACACACACACACACACACACACACACACACACACACACACACATCTGAGCATCACAAGATCCTCCTATTAAGTCCTATAGCTTCAAAATCTACATCATCATCCAGAACTGACATCTTTAGGATCAAACTTCCACCATGAAACCTCTTTGGGAGGAATACATAATTATCATAATCCAAAGCTCAACAAAAGGTATGCATGTTGCATGGTTTGGGATTTGAGGTACCCAAAGGTGGCCAAACCAATAGGGGACAAAATAATTTCTACCTTTCCCATCTACTGTCTCTAGGGGGAGTGGTCTTTATTTTCATTACCAGGTTTACATATCAACCTGGTTCTGAAAAAGCCATTGGAAGAGGCAGGAGAAGGAAATCACATGGCAATGCAGCTACCTTCTAAGGTCATGCTGGAAGCGATCATGCCCCATTTCTTCTCACATACTCGTGGTTAGACCTTTGTGATATGGGTTCATCAAGCTGCAAGTGGGGAGAGGAAAATGGGTTTTGAAAGACAAAGACAAGAATGATCTTACCCACACATTAAATACTAATGTGTTTTCATATATACTGCTAAATTGCCACCTGCGTGAGTTTTCCAGTTTACATGCCTCCTCACCCTAGCAATGTATGAGGGTGCCCACTTTCCCATAACACTTACTGGTTTTTTTTTTAAATTAATTTTGTTGGGTAAAAAAAAAAAAATTAGGACCTTGCTTTATTTTGCATTTCCAAATTACCAGTGATTCTAATCTCTTAAAATTATTTTTATTATTTATTTGTTTTCTGACTTAAAGGATAAGAGCAGAGTGGGATATAAAGAGAGACTTTGTCTTTCAGAGAACCACAGAAAGAGAAATCAGCACAGCAGGGGATGGTACAGAAGGAACTGACTAGGATGATTTGGGGACTGGTGAAAGTGATAGCTTGAGACTAAG